GAGAAAGAGTTACATCACTGCAAAAGAACTGTTTTTGGGAAAGCATCTGCACCAAGATGTGCCACAGGTATAATTCATTTTAGGTTTTGATTATTTTAACAGCTTTCTGCTGAACCTAGCCCTTTGAACGCTTTAGTAAAAGTGGGGAGAGCATGGCTGGGGATAAAAAAGTGCAGACAAGCTTTAACATAAGCAAAAGTAATAGTAACATCAGACATGGTGCTCACACATTACAACTCATGCTTAGCAGTAAAATTTACTTGTGATGCCTCGCAATAAGGTATCAGCACGGTTACCTCATTAATCATAAAAGAGGGGAAAAAATGCCCAATAATGTTCACATCATGCTCACTCACAGCTGCTGAGAAAAATTGTGCATGTGTATAAAGGAAAGCAATGGATTGGTTTGGAGAATCAAGGGCTTCAGCTCCTACTCATATGGAAGAGAATTCATCCTCATTGCTGATTATCAGCCACTACTGCAAATCTTCAAGCCTTATGGGAAATTCCTCTTACACTAGCTGCTTGAGTGCAGAGTTTGGTTTTATTCCTTGGAGGGCCCAGATACAAAAGGGAATTCAGTAGGACACCCAGTCATGCAAATGTAGACACGTTATCTCATTTCCTTCATTCACAAGAAAAGCATGATGTGATGTCTATCAGACCCTAAGAACATGGAAGAACAAGTAGAGGAGGGGAACTGGATTGTTACAGAAGAGATTCCTTAGTCCAAATGCAGGAGGGAGATACGAGAGAGACTCAGAATAACCCCATCTTAATTACCCGAGGTATAAATCCATCTGGACTGATCAGGCTTTCAGGATTCTGTACTTTATCCTACTAGCAATAAAGATATTATTCTAGAAATTCCAGTGGTTCTTGTTTCCTGAGTTGCCAGCCTCAAAAAACTTGACATAAACAAACTTAAAATCCACATTAGTTGGGGATCCTTTGACATGTTTTCTTTCACAGAAATCATGACTCTTGCCCTAAACAGCAACATTTCATCCAGGGAAATGGGCTATCATTCCATGGAGATTATAAAGAATTCATGAAGACTTACAGGTCCATTTTTGCACACAATCTTTTAATTGTGGCAGAATTATGTTCCAAATGACCAGGGATGTTTCCAAGCAACAACTCTGGGCAAGAACAGGTCTTCCAGAACAATTAAAGAGTGAGAATAGGTTCCAATTTATGGCTGAACAGTGTCAGATCTTCCTGGAAAAAAATGGAATCAGATATATAACATAAGCACTGTATTGCCCAGCTACCAACAGATTGACTGAAAGGCTTGTTCAAAGTTTCCAGAATGCTTGGAGAGCAATATCTGAAGAAACCAATCCACTGACTCAAAAGCTGGTACATTTTCTATTGGCATATTGCTATGCAGTACACACAACTACAAATGAAGCACCAGCAATGCTGTTCTTAGGCTGCACTGTATGTTCAAAGTGGACCTTTCAAATGTAAATTAAAAGGAGGTGTTCAGGACAAGCAGCTGAAACAGGCTGAAGATCTTCTCAGACTGAAACATGACACTTTTCCATTGAACAAACTGTACCAGCAAGAAAAAGAATAGATCCCATATCTTTTGTTTGATACGTAGAAAAGACACCACAGGCAAAACAATACCCCCATATCATCAGCAGAAACCTCCATGTCAAGATTATGAGATGGCTAAGAGTTTTCTGATATTTTTCCTATTTTTTAATGTGAAATAAAGAAAACTCCACTCTGCACACTCAGTTGTGAGGCTCTCTCTGCAGCTTCATGGGGGCCACATGTCCTCCACTGCTACATTGGGTCATGACTCAGAACCTCACTAATACAGCATTGTAGGTAATGCAGCCAATAGAAAGCAGTAGGAGGTTTGCTCTACAACTCCATAGGAGCTAAATTTGTTAGAGTGCTTTGTGTGCAATGCAATACCCTGTTGCTTTGCTCCCAAGGCAGGTCAGCTACTGAAGCTGGTAAGAAACAGATGTTTAGGCCCAAATTTGGCCCAAGAGAATCCTGCTGCAATTCTATATCCAGTTGTATTGGAACTTTTTAATTAGGTATTTTACTGATATATATGTGTGTATGAATATTAGTAAAACATACTAAAATTGTTCATGTATACACATACTGCATATGCTCACATCAATTGTTTTAGCAGTCTGCCCACGCATGCAGGCATATACATGTCATACAGAAAAGAAGATGCAAATGAAACAAAGGAATTTAAAGCTATTGCTAATCTGATAGCATAAGGAAGGAATGGAATAAAGAAAAATCTACTTCTCCATAAGTCAAATCTAATGTCTCCTTTTGCATGTATGTGCCAGAAACCCATATAGCTGCCCGACAATTGATGGGTACTCTCAGCTCTGACAGCACCAAAAGGTAGAACTGAGTTAGTCTTACCCTCAGCTCAAAATAATTAAGCAGCAAATGGTCATGCATGCAAGTTTTGCAAAAGCAGTATTAGCATATGCAAATTATTCTGCTGGATTTAGATGATGTGACAAAAGAGCTATCTTTTCTTCTTCTTTTAAAGAGTCCTTATATGCAGCATATAAATTGCATTCATTATACCTTGAGGTTAAATTTGAAGCTTATTTGAATTATAAAAGAAGGGATACACAACCCCTAGTTGGGAAAAACAGCATTGTTCCTTTCCTCCTCTTCTATCTTTTCTCAGAAATAATTCATTATGTTATCTTTCTATTTGTGTCTAATGAATGAGCCCCAATTGCCATGGAAACAATAACTTCCTGATTCTGTTCTATATATTCCCCAGACGCAATAACAGCATCATCTTCTAGACTTTTTCAAAAAAAAAGAAAGAAAGACAGGTTTAGATTTTACAGTTTGGGCAATTTGTAATCTCTCGAAATGTCTGATGGAAGGGACTTATAATAGATATTTTGAGTCATTCTCGACATCATTACTGTATAGCTGGGGAATGGTTGCCTTAAAATTTACAGCACAGTCCTGCAATACTTCTAGTTTAAATTTCTCAGTGCTATTGTGGATAAACTGTGATGGGAAACAAATGTTTAATAAAGTGGACACATTGCACTGTTTATGATGGTATGTTTGACAGGCTATAACATTTCTATTTTGGGACACCCAAACAAGCAACTTCCATCATAAAACGTTTGTTCAGCCAGACCATGAGCCAGGCATCTTTACTCAGTCTATTCCCTTCACAGGACTGCAGTAAAAGTAAAATGGTAAAGGGAGACCTATATTCAGGACTGTGGAGTGCCTGGAAACTCTTAAGTTTTCATTTCAAGAATGTGAAAATATTTAAGCTGCATATTTGCCTGGGAATACGATCTCTTTAGCACAATGGAATTATGGTCTGTGACCATACAGTAATTTTAATCCAAAAAAAAAACAGAATAAGAGGAATTTTTTGCTAGTTGATATACATAGGAATAGTGACAGTCAAACTAATATGGATGAACTACAAGTAGATAAATAACTCCCATCCTGGCCTTTGGTCAAGATCTTTATGAATCAAATTAAAACACAGATTTTGAGCAATCATCCTGTTAATACTTTAAAATTAACAGATGTACATGATATAAATTTGGTATATGATATGAAATGGTTTATTTCCTTTTCATCCTGCCCTTCCTCTGAATATATATATGAATGAATATATTCTTCTGAATATATATATATGAATGAATATATTCTTCTGAAATGTCATACAACAAGCACTGAAAAAATATATTTAGTTTACATATAATATAATTTCATAGCTGGGTTATAAACAAGTTCAAACCTGACTTACAGTAATTAAATATGGACTTGTGCCTGCATGCTGGTTTTGAAAGGTGAAATTATATACTCTATGGAATCAAGTCACTAGGCAAACATTTCCTTGATGCTTATTGTAGAACAGCAAAAAAATTGCAAAAAATATTACAGGCCCAAATAAATAAAAGAGGTGGATTGTTGATTAGCTTAGTGTTTTTGTTGGTTCTCTGTAGAAGCCTATTGATATTTATTTGAACACCAGGCATACAGTAGAATTCTGAGTTGTAGAAAGCATGTATCAAATTTCTCAAAAACTAAAAAAAGGAAAAGATCTATAAGCATAAAACTGGAAACAAAACTGTGAAATAAATCAGAGGAACATGAGAGGAGCAAAATTTAGACAGAACGGGACACAAAAAAGGAATTCTTGAGTACGTGGTAGGATCAAACCTGAAATTCTTACGTTATGGAACTGGGGGCTGTTGCTCAGAAAAGAAGACAGACCAACAAGGAAAATCACTGCAGGAAGATAAAGTATGAGTTCTGTATTAAAAAGTTTTAGAAGATAAAGTAATCTCCCAACAAGGAAAATAGACAAAAGGAAATCGAATGTGGAAACTGTTTGGAACAAAGTGAAAATAACTATGTTTTAAAATGCCACACAAGTGTGTGGACTTGTGTGAATGGAAATTGTATAAAAGGAGGTTTGGTGGAGTGAAACTGAC